AATAGATAGGTGAAGAGAAAATTAATAAATTTTTGATGGAATTAGAAGATAATATCCAGAATATAGTATTGAGAGATGAAAAGATTAAAAACAAAGGTAAAGATTAGAGACAAAGAAGTTACAGAAAGGAATCCTGTAAGGAGAGGAGAGGAGAGGTGGGACAGAGCAGTATGTAAAGTGTTAATAGTTAGGAATTTTAAAAAATGGATTAAAGATATTAAGCCATATATTTATATCCGACTTCCAAGCAGAAACAATGGAATCTGGAAGACAATAGAATGGTATCTTCAAAATGCTTAAAGGAAATATCAGCCAATAAATTGTGTAGCCCGCAAGTGCTCTAGCCGTTCATAAGTGGGACGTTAACTTAGGACAAGAAAGAATCACGAGATGGGTAAAGACTGTACAGTCCACTAAAGAGGCATGAGCAAGGGATGTTTTCCAGGCAGGTGGTTAGGAAATCTCAAGGACTACAAGTAGAATCGTGAGTTGGTCTGTTTGGGTGAAGCTGAGCCCCCATTACTAGGGGTGGAATGAAAATTGAGTCTGGGGAAGGTCAGTAGGAGCAGGATGTGAATGATCTCATTCTACAAGTGATGGGAGAGGGAAGGTGTTCTTGCGGCATCCTGCTTGTTTCTTGGTAGGATACTGCTACTAAAAGTCTTTCTAACATTTTCCTGCCACTACCCAATAGGTATAAATCATACTGTCTCTTGGTACTTTACTATGCGTGAAGTTAAATTTAGATAAGTACCAGCTTCAGTCTGCACTGTACTTTCATTCCCTTGAGAGGAAATATTACTGATTACCGCTTTTAAAGAACCCAATTGCAAAGAATCTTATTTCCTCTTTGACTTGTTCCTCTGGAGATAGAGTGAGACAGTAAATTAGGGAATGAAGGGAAAATAAAGAAGTTCCCCTTCAGAGTTGTTTCCATATGGCTGACCTTTTAAATGACTCTCTCTCTTTCTAAGCACCATACTTTCAGTCCTAACCTTTGCCTTTCTTGTAGGAAAGTTCCGTTTCCTATGAGTTTGCAAACGTTTGATATTATCCAACTTTCAAATTTTAGCCCATCAAATGAGTATAGGTTGGAGGGTGGAGGAAGTGGGGAGATACTGGATAAAAGGTACAAACTTCCAGTTACAAGATTAACAGATTTGGGGATCTCATGAACTGTGTGGTGATTATAGCTATTGATACTGTATCATATACTTGCATGTTGCTAAGAGAGTGGATCTTCCATGTGTTCACACCAAAAAAATGCTAACTATGTGACAGATGAAGGTGGTAGCTAATACTTATGGTGGTAATCACTTTGTGATATGTAAATGTATCAAATCAACACTTCGTACACCTTAAACTTACACAATATTAAGTGTCAGTTGACCTCAAGAAAGCTGGAGGGAAAAAAAGATTTCTCAAGTTTAATTTATAGCCTTTTGCTGATTTTAAATTTCCACCATACATTTGGTATAGTGCTCTACTTCTAACTGCTGTGTGCAATGTATAACTTTCCAAGCAGGGTGTACACAAGGGGCTTTCAGGGTCACAGATATATGTACACATTTAATTGCATTAGATGGTGTCAGGTTGCTCTTGAGAATAGTTGCACAACAAGTCTTTCCTCTCACCACCAAAGTATGAAAGTTCCGTTTCCTACAAGTTTGCAAACGTTTGATATTATCCAACTTTCAAATTTTAGCCCATCAAATGAGTATAAAGTGATGCTTCATTCTTTCATTACTGAGGTTGAGCTTTTCTTCACATACTTATTAGCCATTTGGGTTTGCCTTATTTATATCCTTTGCCAATTTTCTAATTAGGTGCCCTATCTTTTCTTGTGTTCTGCAAGATTTCCATATATATTTTAGAGCAATACTGTCCAGTAGCACTTTATGAGATGATGGAAATGTGTTCTTTTTTTAAAAAAAAAGATTTTATTTATTTACCTGAGAGAGAGAGAGAGTGTGTATGTGCAGGGGGAGGGCAGAGGGAGAGGGAGAGAGGAAGCAGATTCCCTGCTTAGTGGGGAGCCTTATGTGGGGCTTGATCCCAGACCCTGAAATCATAACCTGAGCCGAAGTCAAATGCTTAATGATTGAGCCACAGGGTGCCCCTGGAAATGTGTTCTATTTGTGCCCTCCATTATGGTAGGCACTCACCATGAGTGGCTGTTGAGTACTTGAAATGTGACTAGTGCAACCAAGGAACTGGATTTTAAATTTTATTTAATTTTAATTAATTTTAACTTAAATGTAACTAGCCAAGTGTGACTAGCGACTACTACATTGGACAACGCGGGATCTAGGTATTAATACCTTGTCAGTTTTTGGCATTGCAAATATCTTCTCCTGATTTGTCAACTGTTTAATAGCTTAGCAGAAGTTCTTAATTTTGATGTGTTTAAATCCATACATCCTTTTGCTTTATGGTTTGGCTTTTTTAAGTGGTCTTTTTTAGGGAAGAATTCTCTATAAACTTCAGTATCACAAATATAATCTCTGGAATTTTCTACTCTTACCTTTAAGCTTTCCCTTTGACATTTAGTTCTTTAATCCAACAGAGGCTCTTATTTGTAAATGGTGTAAAGAACGTGCTTTGTTTTTCTGCACATAATGAATCAGTTTTCCCAACTCAATTCATTAAATGGTGCTTTCTTTTTCTGGCAGAGTGTGGAAGCATTTTTTAAAAGATTATATACCAGGTCCAATAATACCTAGATCTGTTAGCCCTTTGTTCTGTACAATGGTCCATTTGCCTGTTCCCATGTGAGTATCCACTGTTTTAAAACTTTACCTTTATAGTATGTCTTCATAATTAATTGGTAGGACAATTTGTTTTTCTTTGCTTTTCAAGATCAAATTGAGTATTTGAGAAGCCTTGTTCTTCTGTTAAATTTTAGAATAAGTTTATCATTTTTTTCAAAACTCTTGGTGAATTTTAATAGGGATTGCATTTAATTTATAGTTTAATTTTGGAAGAAGCAAATTCTTAACGTGTTGTTGTTATATCCATGTACATTTATGTAAATCAGTCAGGTTTTTTTTTCATGTTTAACAGCTTTTTCTCCCCCACACCTTTTTTTAAGGCTTTATTTTTGAGTAATCTCTATACCCGATATGGGCCTTGAACTCACAACCCTGAGATCAAGAGCCGCACACTGACAGAGCCAGCCAGGTGCCCCATCATGTTTAATAGCTTTATAAAAATAAAATCATCATACAAAATCCTGCACATATTTGAAATTGCAAATTGGCAGGCTTTGACATGCCATGAATGAGGCCATGAAACCATCACCAATATCAAGATAGTGATAGTGAACAAATTTCACCCACCCCAAACTCCTTGTGCCCCTCTGTAATCCTTTTCTCCTATCCCTCCCCACACCCCACATCATGCAACCAGTGATTGCTTTCTGTCACTATAGATAGAAAGAGTCCTTTGCATTTTTGAAAGTTTTTAATACATGGAATCACACATTGTCTGGCTTCTTTCACTCAGTATAAAAGTTTTGAGATTCATTGATACTGTAGCATGAATCAGTAGTTCGTTCCTTTTTATTGCTGAGGAGTATTCTACTGTATGGATATGCCACAAATTTGTTTATCCATTCACCCATTGGTAGGCATTTGGGTGGTTTCGTCTTCATAACACCACTATTTTCAAGAGCAGGAGAAATAGCTGATTTTCCTAACACATAGAAACAGACACAAAGAGTTAGACAAAATGAGGAGAAGGATGAATATGTTCCAAATGAAAGAACGGGACAAAAGCACAAGAGATCTAAAAATATCACAGCAAGAGACCTAAATGAAACAGATAAGTAATATGCTTGATGGAAAATTTAAAGTATTGGTCATAAAGATACTCACTGGACTTGAGAAAAGAGTGGAGGACCTCAGTGAGACTCTTAACAAAGAAACAGAAAACAAAAAAGAACCAATAGAGATAAAAAAAAAAAACCTCTATACCTGAAATTAAAAATACAGTAGACTAGAGGAAGCCGAAGGAAAAAAAAAATCAGTGATCTAGAGGACAGAGTAATGGAAAGCAATCGAGTTGAATGGGAGATAAAAAATAATAAATGAGGGTTAAGGGAAACTCAGTGACACCATCAAGCATAACATTTGCATTTCAGGGATCCCAGGAGAAGAGAGGGAAAGGGGGCAGAAAAATTATTTGAAGAAATAATAGCGGACAACTTCCTGAATCTGGGGAAGGAAACAGAAATCCAGATCCAGGAGGCATAGAGGTCAACCCAAGGAGGTCCAGACCAAGACACATAGTAATTTAAATGGCAAAAAACAGTGATAGAGAATTTAAAAGCAGCAAGAGAAATCAGTTACATACAAGGGAAACCCCAAAAGGCTATCAGCTGATGTTTCAGCAGAAACTTTGCAGACCAGATGAAAGTGATATGATATATTCAAAATCCTGAAAGAAAACAACAACAACAACAACAACAACAAACCTGCAACCAAGAATACTCTATCTAGCATGGATATCATTCAGAATAGAAGGAGAGATAAAAGGTTACCCAGACAAACAAAAGTTAAAGGAATTCATGACCACTAAACCATCCCGACAGGAAATGTTGAAGGGGATCCTGAGTGAAAAGGAAAGATCATAAGTAGGAGTAAGAAAAGTAAAAAGCAGAAAAGAAGTAAAATTAAGTATTTCTATAAAAATCAGTCAAGGGATTCACAAAAGGATGTTAAGTATGACACCAAATACCCAAAACATGGAGGGGAGAGGAGTGAAGAATGGGTTCAAATGTGAGCAACCATCAACTTAATATGGATTGCTATGTGCATAAGATGTTATATACAAACCTAAAGGCAACCACAAATCAAAAACCAGTCATAGACTGATGATTACCAGAGAAAGGTGGGGGTGGGGAATGGGTTAAATAGGTGAAGGGGATTAATTTAAATTCCAGTTAACTAAATGCCAGTCTTACCTGGAATTTAAATTAAAACTTAAAAAAATAAAAAATAGTGCTCACTTTGGCAGCACATCTACTAAAATTAGAATGATACAGAGATTAGCATGACCCCTGCTCAAGGATGACATGCAAATTCGTGAAGCGTTCCATATTTTAAAAATAAAAATAAATGAATAAAAGTATAATTTATTTAGATATTTTCAAATATTAAACTAGTCAGATATGCAAAGAATAAAGAGAAAGGAATCCAAGTATATCACTAAAGAAAGCCAGCAAACCGTAAGAGAAGAAAGCAAGAGAAGAAAGGAACAGAGAAAAACTACAAAACAATCATAAAACAAGTCACAAAATGGCAATAGGTATGCTTCTATAAAATAATTACTTTGAATGTGAATGGACTAAATGCTCCAATCAAAAGACAGGGTGGCAGAATGGATAAAAAGCACGACCCATCTATGTGCTATCTACAAGAGACTCATTTCAGACCTAAAGACACATGCAGGTTGAAAGTGAAGGGATGGGAAAACATTTATCATGCAAATGGAATGAAAAGAAAGCCAGGGTAGCAATACTTAATATTGGACAAAATAGACTTTAAAACAGGCTGTAACAAGAGACAAAGAAGGACACTCCATAACCATAATGGGAAAAATTCAACAAGAGGATATAACAATTGTAAATGTTTATGCTTCCAACATGGGAACACCCAAATACATAAAGAGCAGCTATTAACAAACAAAGGAAGAAATCAGTAGTAATACAGTAATAATAGAGGACTTTAACACCCCACTTACACCAATGGATAGATCATCCAAACAGAAAATAAACAAGGGAATAGTGGCCTTGAGTGACACATTGGACCAGATGGATCTAACAGATATAGTCAGAACATTCCATCCAAAAACAGCAGAATACACATTCTTCTCAAGGGCACATGGAACATTTTCCAGAACAGATCACTATTAGGCGACAAACAAGTATCTTCAATTTCATAAATCTTTTTCTTCTCTAGTATCTGGTAGTTAATTTCAGGGTTTATATTATACATCTTTAACTTATTACAATCTACCTTCAAGTGATGTGTCACTTCACTTATAGTATTAGAAACTTATAATACTTTACTTACATTTCTCCCTTCCTAGAATTTATCATCCATTTTATACATTTGTTAAAAACTCTACAATGAAATATTATTACTTTTGTTAAGCTGTCAATTATTTTTAAAGGGACTTAATAAGAAAAATATATATATTTACCCATGTAGTTAGTTACCATTTCTGGTGCCTTTCATTTCTTTGTTTAGATCCAGGTTTATTGCTGACATCATTTCCCTTTTGCTGGAAGGATATCCTCTAATATTTTTTTGTAGTGCAGTTCTGATGATGATGAATTCTTTCAGCTTTTGTATGTCTGAAAACATCTTTATTTTGCCTACATTTTTTAAAAAGATATTTTCAGTGGCTGTAGGATTTAAAGTACAGTTTCTTCTTTCAGTACTCTAAGGATATTGCTCCCTGTCTTCTTGCTTACATTGTTTCCAGTGAGAAGTCTGTTGTTCTTACCTTTGTCTCTCTGTACATAACTCCCCTGACTCCTTCTCCAGCTGCCTTTAAGAGTTTCTCATAAATTGTTTTTAAAAATTGTTTTGGGGGTGCCTGGGTGGCTCAGTCGTTAAGCATCTGCCTTTGGCTCAGGTCATGGTCCCAGGGTCCTGGGATCAAGCCCCGCATCGGGCTCCCTGCTCAACGGGAAGCCTGCTTCTCCCTCTCCCACTCCCCCTGCTTGTGCTTTCTCTGTGTGTGTGTGTGTGTGTGTGTGTGTGTGTGTGTGTCTCTGCCAAATAAATAAATAAATAAAATCTTTAAAAAAAAATTGTTTTGTGACTTGGTGTAGTTTTCTTCATGTTTCTTAGGCTTGGGATTCATTGAATTCCTTGGGTCTTTGGAGTTTGTTTGCAAAAAACTAGGGAAAATTTCAGCCATGAAATAAAATATTTTTGACCTCCCATTCTCTTCTCTCCTATGAAGACTACATTTATATATATGTTAGGCTGATTGAAATTGTCCTGCAGTTTACAAAGGTTCCCTTCTACCTTCTTCTTCCTCCTCCCCCCTTCCTCCTTCTTCTTCTTCTCTGCCATTAATACCATCCAGCGCATTTTCATTTCAGACACTGTAGTTTTCTTTTTTTAGAAAAAAAGATTTTATTTATTTATTCATGAGACACAGAGAGAGAGAGAAAGAGAGAGAGAGAGAGAGAGAGAGAGAGAGGCATGCTCCCTTGGGATCATGACCTGAGCTGAAGGCAGACACTTAACTGAATGAGCCACCCAGGTGCCCTGGACACTGTAGTTTTCATTTCTAGAAATTTAATTTAGGTACTTTTTAAAAATATATATCTTACATTTCTATTTAAAATTTTGAACATAGAGAAGACAGTTATAATAATTGTTTGAATAGCTTTGCTTATTCTAACATCTGTGACAGCTGCTGGTTGGTTGGTTTCAATTTATTGATTATTTTTCTTATTGTGAATTGTACTTTCCTACTTCATTGCCTGGCAACCTTTGTTTTAATACCAGACATTTAATTTTACCTTGTTGAGTGCCAGGTATTTTGTTGTTGTTGTTGTACTGTTGTACTGTTAATTTTTTTAAGGTTTATTCTGGGATGTAGTTAAATTTCTTAGAAAAAGTCTGATCCTTTCAAGTCTTATTTTTTTTAAAGATTTTTTATTTATTCATTTGAGAGAGCGAGAATGAGAGAGAGAGAGAGAGCACATGAGAGGGGGCAGGGTCAGAGGGAGAAGCAGACTCCCTGCTGAGCGGGGAGCCCGATGCGGGACTCGATCCCGGGACTCCAGGATCATGACCTGAGCCGAAGGCAGTCGCCCAACCGACTGAGCCACCCAGGCGCCCTCAAGTCTTATTTTTATGATTCTAGTGGGTCCAGAGTAGTGCTTAGTCTGGGTCTAATTATTTCCCGTTACTGAGGCAAGGCTTTTCTGAGTATTATACTCAGTGCTCTGTGAATTATGAGTTTTTCCAGTCTGGCTGGTGGGAATAGGCACTGTTCCCAGCTCGGTGTTAGTACCAGCCACTGTTCTCCAATCCTGTCAGATAGTTCTGTTCCCTTAGTCTTAGGCAGTTCCTCTCCTCCTGTGCTGGTAAATACTTCCTGCTAAATACTCAAGGGTGACCCTCTCAGATCTCTGGGATTCTCTCTCTGTCCTAAGCACTTTAGCTACCTTGTTCTCCCTGTGACTCTCAGCTGTGACCCTTCAACTCAGGGAGACTGCTAGTCTCTGCCTGGGTACCTTCTCCCTAAGCTCTTAAGGCAGTAAGCTGGACAAAAGAGCTCACATTATTTTGTTCTTGTCTATCAGGTTAATGTTTATTATTGCCCAATGTCCAATATCTTTAAACCCGTTGTTTCATATATTGTGTCTTGGTTTGTTTGTTTATTTGAGGCAGGAGTATAAAATCCTGTTTTATACTCTTGTTAATCCATCTTGAGTGGAAGCAAATGTCCTTTCCTTGATTTTCTCAATTTGAGGTTTTAAGTAGTTTCCATAAATATTATGTGCTTGCTTGCTTTCTTTTCTTTCTTTTCTTTTCTTTTCTTTTCTTTCTTTCTTTCCTTTTTTAAAGTAGGCTCCACGCCCAGCATGGAGCCCAACTCAGGGCTTGAACCCACGACCCTGAGATAAAGACCTGAGCTGTAATCAAGAGTCAGACACTTAACCCACTGAGCCATGCAGGCGCCCCTTGGATTATTTCTCTGACAGTTTTCTTCCTTCTGTTTACTCTGTTCTCTCTGAAATTTGTCATTTGGTTGTTAAATCTTCTGGACTAACCCCTAATTTCTATGCTTTTTTTTAAAATTGGAAGTGTAGCTAACATACAATATTGTTTTAGTTTCAGGTATGCAACATAGGGATTTGACAGTTATATACATTACAAAATGCTCACCATGATCAGTGTAGTTACCATCTGTCACCGTACAAAGTTATTATAGTATTACTGACTTTATTCCCTATGCTATTTTTGTTCCCATGACTTATTTATTTTATAACTTTATTTGATTTTGTACCTCAACCCCCTTCACCTATTTTACCCACTCTCCACCCCTGCCAGTTTGTTCTCTATTTATGAGTCTGTTTCTGTTTCTGCTCGTTTGTTTTGCTTTTTAGATTCCACATATAAGTGAAATCATGTTAATTGTCTTTCTCTGACTTATTTCACTTAGCATATAGGTTGCTTCCATATTGCCATTGTAGATAATGCTGCAATGAGCATAGGGGTGCATTATATCTCTTTGAACTGATGTTTTTGTTTCCTTTGGATAAATACCCATAAGTGAGAATGCTTGGCTGGCTCAGTTGGTAGAGTATGTGACTTTTTTTTTTTGAGTATGCGATTCTTGATCTCGGGATCTTGAGTTCAAGCCCCACGTTGGGTGTAGAATAGATTACTTAAATAAATAAATAAATCTTTAAAAAAATACATGTAAGTGGAATTGCTTGATTATGTTTCTATTTTTTATTTTTTAAGGAACCTCCATCCTGTTTTCCATAGTGGCCGTACCAATTTACATTCCCATCCACAGTGCACAAGGGTGCTCTCCACATTATTGTCGTTAATTTCTTATCTTTTTGATACTAGCTGTTATAACTGATGTAAGATGATACCTCTTTGTAGTTTTTATTTTTATAGTTGATATACAATGTTACATTAGTTTCAGGTGTGCAATATAGTGATTTGATAAGTCTGTGTTATGCTACACCCACCACCAGTGTAACTACCATCTGTCACCATACAGATACTATTACGATACCATTGATTATGTTCTCTATGCTGTACCTTTTCTCCCTGCGACTTATTCATTCCATAACTGGAAGCCTGTATCTCCCATTCACTCTGTATCCCCTTCACTCATTTTGCCTATCCTCTACCCACTGGCAACCATCAGTTCTCTATATTTATGGGTCTGTTTCTGCTGTTTGTTCCTTTGTTTTGTTTTTTAGATTCCACATATAAGTGAAATAATGTAGTATTTGTCCTTGTATGACTTACTTCACTTAGCATAATACCCTCTAGGTCCATCCATGTTGTCTCAGATAGTAAGATTTCTTCCTTTTTTTATGGCTGGGTAATA